AGATCAAAGACATATTTATAGTAATTATGCAGGCAAATTTGCTTGCAAATCTCTACCAATTAAGGTATAAATTAATAAATTCAAAATTTTGATAATTGAGTTTTTGTTTAATTTTACCAAACACTAGTTCACAGAGATTTTAAAGCAGAATATATAATCTAGTAAAACAGGTTTAAGATTAGGTTAAAGTTACTATAAAAATAGATAAGATTAACTAGTTTGGGCTACAGATAATATAAATAATATTAAAAATATAGTAGCTAGTTGTATTTCATTATAACTATATTAGTAATTAATTTTTAATAAAAAGTTACTATAGCTAAAAAATTACTTTAATACTGTACCAAAAAAAAAAATTTTTGCTTAATCAAAACTTGATAGTTTGAGATCTTATCTAGAAATATTAACAAAATTTTACAGTTATATAATAATGGCAAAATTTTTTATATTAGATTAAAGTTAGAATAAGCTTCTATATTATAGTTAAAATTTAAACAATTATATAGTAAAATCATTTAAAAAAAGCTTTTTGTTAGTATATTTAAGATGGGTTTTTATATAATTGTTGAGAAACAAACAAATTTTGCAAATCAAATATTGGTTTGAATCTTCTTGATCATGTTATATTACATGAATCTTACTTTATTATTAATTAATAACCACATGATTTATTAGTATTTTGTTGGCGATCTTGGAAGAATGAATCTATATACCCCCACCCAAAATAAAAATGATCATCAATGTTGTTATTTTTTTTATTAATGTTAACAAAGCTAAGGTTAAGGTTAGTGTCAGAATTAAGTAGGCTTTAAAAGCTATTTATATCAAAATTTTGCAAGGAATTTTTTTTATTATAATGCAAAAGATAGTTTCATATATGAAATTTCAAGATAAAATAATTTTTAAATTTTAATGTTACACGCTGATCGTTCGTGTAGCATCTACACATCTGATGCTGATTGGCTATAACCCGGTTTTCAAACTGGTTTGGGGCACATAGATACACGCGATAGTGATGTTGATTTGTCCCGATTGTATGCCGATTTGCACCATAAATTGGATAGCCAAATTTAAAAATTGATATAAATCGGGCACCGATTAGTTTAAAATATACCCGATTTGCCAGTTTCCGACTATTAACAACATTACTTTTATAAAAATTTGCTTTAAAATAATTCTAAGTATAAAATTTTCAAAAATTCTCAGGCTGATTTTGGAGTCAAAACAAAATCAGCTAATATGAGATATATTACTGTTTTCTATTATTTGTAAAAAAAAAAACACTGTTACTAAATCTGAACAATATAAAACTAGTATTTATATGTTACAATTAGAGATGGAACTTTGGTTAGACGTAAAACTAATCCGAAGGTTGTATATCAACTATATATATCTGATAAACAAAAATTCGTGTAATAAGTTTATTATTCAAAGTCTTTTTAATGTTTCGTATGTTGACGTTCTAACGATATGTAGAACGTGTCACATTGGGGTGTGCGATGTACTATGTAAATCAAAATTATATGTGGTCATATAATAAAATTTATTAATGAAGATTTTTTGGATAGGTGAAGTAATTATAGCAAAATTTAAATAGATGTACAGCCTTAACGGTTCGATAGATTTGGATAAAATTTTGCAAAGATCAGTATTATTTCTCTACGAACAAAGCTACAGAGTCATTTCTTCAAATCAGGTTACTCTTTTTCTTTTTTTACCTCTATAGCTTTATTCGTAGAGAAATAATACTGGTCCTTGCGAAATTTTATCCAAATCTATCGAACCGTTAGGGCTGTACATCTATTTAAATTTTGCTATAATTACTATAAAATTATTACCTATCAAAAAAATCTTCATTAATAAGTTTTATTATATGATCACATATAATTTTGATTTACATAGTATATCGCACACCCCAGTGTCACATGCCGAAATCACCAACTTAATCGGATCGGCCGAAAAATTACTCGGCAAATTTAGGTGTTTCAGAAACTATGAAACAGCTATAAGTCCGGATTTATGTATTCCAGCTGCTCTCATAAATTCTGGGACAACTGAAAAATTCCTGATGACCGAATTTGATAAGTTTCTGTGTCTAACCGAAGTCAGTTAGTTACCTACCGTATTAACCACCCCCTGTAGAATTTTAAGTTTTATACTTGGGCATTTAATATTATCGTTACATTGGTACAAATTTTAACTTATATTCTTGTACTATCTAGAAAAAAGCCGAAGACTATTTTACAACAGGGTAGTTTGGCCCGTGAAATATGGACTCAGTAACTTATCAAATTCGGTCATAAAAAATTTTCAGTTTATGATGAAAACAGCTGCAAAAATTGAATCCGGATTTAGAATAAATCCGGATTGATCTGGTATAAATATAAATCCGGATTCATTAACTCTAGTCCGTATTACACTTATCTGTTACGATGAGTGTTTTAGGTCAAAGAAAACATAACGATAATTATTAACAATTAGAAATTAACGCTATAAGTCTGAGGTTCATTTCATCATTTTTTTATCTATTTTCATCATAATTATGCCAACAAAAAATTTTTATTAAATTCCCTTAGCTGTTAGTTTAGTAATACAATTAGAAGAATACGTGCGATTATAGTATCTGAAAGAACTTCATTAAAAAGTTTTTGGTCAAAAAAAAAAATGCAAAAATACTACTAAAATGACGTGCTATACGTAGAAACGGAGATTCGATTGGTAGATCAGCACATTTTTACTAGGTACGTACGGCTCGGAATCGTATAACGTGATGCATTGCATGAATGGCGCAATCGGTTTGCGTATATCTGTATATTTGGGGAAATCTATTATCCGAATTAATATATAAGACGAGGGATGTTGGCTTTCGAACCAATGCGTTTATACAAAACGTTGTGTGGTCGTCGTTACGGTGTTCGTCAAGGTGTAGAGTACCTGCACGATACGTCAGTCCAGCACAGTCAAGCGAGTGGAAACTCTACGTACGTGGACTAGATCGAATAATAACATACCATATAGCTACGTGACAACATTTATACGTATCAAAAACTTTCAATTTTCAAGGTAAAGTAATAAATTTATTTCTGTCAGAATGAGAACGCAAAGCTTAAAAAGTTCGTCCAAGATTAAAAATTTATCGATCGAAAAAAGCCATGATAAACACAACAATTACTAACAAAATAACATATTAATGTGATATGCATATGGCCAACATGGGTTTACCACAAAATCTCGAAAACCATTTTCCCGAAAGAATATAATACCGACTAAATTGGCCAGCATTATAACTAATGCCGGCTAACTTTGTCGATATTGGGAATCTGTCTTTCGGGATTTTGTGGTAAAACCGGCCAACATTGAGTGCTCCAACTGTTCTCATAAATTCCGGAAAGTAGGGATGGTAAAAAAAAACTCTACAGCTTTTTCATACACAGCCCTACAATAAATTACCTTTTTTATTAATAAAGTATATAACGGGTGGGTAAAAAATCTCTAAACAGGCCCTTTTTTTACTATACTATCTCCGCTAAGATTTATATGTACTTAATTTTAAATATAGTTTATAAGTACGTACTGTACGTACATAAATATTGCAATGATTACTATATATATATAATTATATATAAACAATGATAATCTTAGTGATTAAAAAAAGTGACCTGTTTAGAGACTTTTCACCAACCCGGGTATATGAAAATGAAAGCTTACACTTATATAAAAGCTCTTAATTAGATAGAACCTTTTTTTATTTTAATTTGCTAAAGTTAATTAATTACGTTTTTTTAAAACAATGTCTTTAGGCTTTTTAAAAATTTTTAAAAAATCTAAAATTATTTCTAAAAAAGCGTAATTAATTAATTTTAATTAGATGAAAATAAAAAAAGATGGCATATATTTTCATTTTTTTGATATACTTTATTTATAAAAAAACGGGTCATTCCGATGATTTATCGTTATTGTGAATTCTGAGAAATTGGAAAATTGACAATGACCGGCATCGGTAACTATTAAATTCCGAAAATTTTTCCGATGACCGAAAAGTTACCGAATTGGCTATCCCAGAATTATGAAAAACAGCTGTATTGTTTTTATTGTTTTTTATCGGATTGTTTAAAAATCAAAACATTGAAATCATCTAACGACTCCAAAAGTGCAGCCAGAACAAAACTACGCAAAGTTCTACTGATGACGCATATCCCGGATTTACCAAATTATAATTTTGAAGTCTAAGCTAGGTTAATGCAGGCCAACTACTTAAATATTAAATACGTCACCGCACTTTTACATTAGTAATCGATAAATAGCAAAACTACCGCATTTGATTGGTTGATTTTCGGTTAATTCTCACAGAATACCGATGCGTAATCAGTAATCATTTAATTGTGTCGATCATCTCATTTTGAAATCTGATTTAACATTTAAAATCATTTTCCATTTCTAGAAACAAACTGCTCTTCTATTTCGTCCTATGAATTATCTAACTCTGGAAATTACTTCTCCATCTCTAGACCAACGTAGATTCCGAAGAGTTACAAAGTTAGGTAATTCTTAGGAGAAACCGAAGAGATTTTTGAGAAACGGGATTTCGGGAAGTAAACAAATTGTTCCAGGATTTATAAGAACAGTTGTAATAAAATTTGTTTACTGTGTATAACAGGATTTATATATCGATAAGACCCAAATGTGTGGCAAGCCTAATTTTTTACCCGTTTCCCGAACAATTTAATTAACCATGTACGTAGGTAGAATGTGATCGAAAAATCGATAGCTGACAAATACGTAGATAATTTTATGCCGGTGTTACTGTTACACCTATTACGAATTAAACGGTAAAGAATCTGATCATTGCGCGTAAGCTCATTTTACTTTTGCAAAGAATCTATATATAGACTAATTTTAAATTATGAAAAAGCGTAGATTTTTTTTGCAAATTCATAAAAAATTTTTCGCATTAGACTTCTGCCTTTCAGCAACGTACTATTATTGAATATAGAAAAAAAATGTCTTCAAATAATGACACCTATAATTCATACATTTCGCAACTAAACTTGTTAACTCCGGTCTCTTTGATGTCAGACTCTACTCGTGAGGAAGATTTAAACGACACAGATTTAGAGTCTTGGTCCAACTCGCAGTTTATTGATGTTTCATATGGTATGGGTTTCCCAGACAATGATTTCGAAGTCTCTCCTGGTATGTTCGAAGACCAAGATATAGCTGCGCAACCTGCTATGATGGTTCAGAGTGGCCTATCGACTATCTCCAATTCGCCTCAATTTCAACCATCAATTTATCCTATATTCACTTATCCTGCAGCAAATTCTATCATGACAGCACGTATTCGACCTATTACCATTGCTCCAGCTGTTACTACAACACTAACTAGCCCAACTTTTCCTCAAACATATCCTACTTCTCCTACAAATATGGATGTAACTAAAGAAGAAACAGTAGTGTCACCAGCATCAAGTCCTCCAAAGGTTACTGCTGACACTACAAACCATCCGTCTCATAAAAATTCGACGGCAAAAACGAGTCAACTAACATCTAGTGATATATCAAAAAAAGATGCTGATTCTAAACAATCAATTGATCCTGAAGTAGTAGCTAAATTAGCTGCTGAGGAAGATAAACGAAGGCGTAATACTGCGGCATCTGCTAGATTCCGCGTAAAGAAGAAGATGCGTGAACAAGCGCTTGAGAGAACTGCGAAAGAAATGTCTTCAAAAGCAGAAGCTTTTGAAAATCGTGTAAAAGAACTCGAGATGGAGGTCAAATGGTTAAGGAGTCTGATAGTAGAAAAAGATGCTAGGTTGTTGGATATTGATCGACCTGGAAAAAAGCACAAAACTGAACCTGAGAATCAAGATGCAGAGGCAAATCAAAAAGAATAAAATTTTTGCCTTTGAGACCTATTATTTGAAGACATTCACACTTTTTTATATGTGTGAATAAATTTATCTTTTTATATTTTACTTTATTTTTGCTTCTTCGGGGCTGTCATCTCGTATTTATTAGAGATGATGCTGATTTTTTTTGCATACTCAGTAAGCTACTGGAGACAAATCGAAAGCAGAATAGTGAAATATCGTAACCAAATATTCATAAGCTTTTAAGATTAGTGTCGATTTTTAAGAATTTAAAAATCCACTTATGATTAACATGAAGAAAACCTATATGTACATTGGATGTATTTTTCTGTAACGGATTGGTTAATTTTACACATTATGTGCTTTTTATGCTTTTTTTTACTTAGTATAAACTGTTATATAATTCAGATGTGTGTACGTACGTATAAACTAGAATTGCCATGTCTGTTATGTATATTGATTTTATAATTAATTGTTATATAATAATGAATCTTATAAATACAAATTATATATATATTATATATTATATACGTATATATATATAACATATTTCACAATTGTTTACTAAGCAGTTTATTTTTAAATATATATTACTATATATATAGCTTATAAAATCTGGCTATGAATTAGTTTAGAATTTATTTTACATATATATTAGATTTATAAATATATATATATAATACAATTAGCGTTGGCAAATAGAACATGATTGGCACGAAATAGAACAATAAAATTTATACGTAGCATATGAAAATTTTTTAAATGATTAGTGCACATGTGTATATACATATGTACGTCCGTACGTCGTATATTGTAGGGTTCTGCAACCCGGGCACGTGTCTGTGCCCAAAAAAATTTAGGCTCAGGCATGGACATAGGCATGGTTTTAAAATTTTGGCATGGGCACAGGCACAAAAGTTTGGCATGGGCGTGGGCACAGGTACGTACAGAAATTTGATATATATTATTTAATTGTGCCTGGCACCACTCTGGCATCTTGTGTCTATGCCTTTTCTAGTGCCTGGCACTTTTGTGCTCATATCTTTAATGTGTCTGGTATTTTATGCCCTTTTGTGTCTATAGGCATAGACATGGTATAAGGCACTAGTGCCCGGTCTGGCGCCAATGTACCAGACACGGGCATTTGCAGAACCCTAATATATTGATATCTCAAAATCCCTATTATAAAATAGCTTTTGGAAATACAGTCAACTCTTCATATAATCACATTATATACTGTATAATCACATTTTATTTAGGCCAAAATTGATTTAATTTATAAGCACATTTTTAAAAAATTTTACTATTGCCTAACTGTGTGATTGTATGGGAGGATAATTGTATAACAAAAAATATTTTGTGCAAAATTTAGTATAAATTATAATCTTTTTTAATGCAATTAAACTAGGTTAACAGGAGTTCAAAGTCTAATATATTATTACTATTATTAATAAAAATAATATTATATGGTGGACAGGCAAATATTTTTTAACTTTTATATATATATGTAAATTTTTTTTTTTTTTGATTAAAGGAGACCTTCTTGGTCGGCGATTTTTATTAAGTCAAGTTCAAGCACTATACATTTAGACAAAGGTACATATAGCCACACATGCACCTTTTGGGTGTCTAATTTAAGTAGTCTGCCCAAAGGTTTTATACTATCTGCCGTACCTACACTCCAACTAGGGGGGTACCCATCTAAACTCTCTGATCTTAACATATTTGACCTGACACCTATCTTAACATGGGTGTAACTCATTATTCAAATATAGATTTTGTGACACCACTACATAAACAGCCAACTTAGGATACTTTACTATTCTCGAAGGTAAGCCCAACAGAGTGGTACATGTTCCACATATGTATTCATCTGCATGTTCCATAATATCTTCCTAGTTAGTACCTGCTGTGCTGCCGATACTGAGTCCGTATCTCAAGCTACTTTTTAAAGCACTACTGTAACCCGATTCATATCTTAAGCCACAACCTTCCTAATTAGTTTCCCATTACATACTTATTGCTTTTAATGGTTCACAACAACCCTGGTACCCACACTTGAAACCGTCTCCTTATCTGGATTTTCTATCGGTCCCTCCCTTACTTCTAGCCAGCAACCCGGAAAGGTTGGTTTGCTCAGGCTTTAGGTGCCTGAAGGATGCCCTCCCCTTGGTTCATACTTTCAGAGTGTATGCCCTTTTCCTCCGGTGCGACAACCTGGCAGTTTGGCTAGTATGTCCTCCGCTATAGGACCTGGTTATTCGATTCAGGGACCCGTAAAAATTTCGAAATCAAATTTTCATTATATAAAATCGAAATTTTTGCTATAAAATTTGTATCATGTGATATAAAAT